AGTATCAGCGATTTCGTTTCGTCAGTTGATTTCGACAGCGTTTCTTGATCTTAATCTTGCACAAATTTACTTATTTTGATTACACACATTTTATCAGTTTTGACACATCTGTTACATATTCTTACAGTTTTACTTGTATTTTTACATTTATATTTTGCTTTTGAATACACATTTTCCCGGTCACAGTTATAGTGAAAAGCTATGATATCGTTCATTTTACTTCTCGCTACTGCTTACGTAGTATAGATAAAGTTTTTTAATGCTGCGGGGGAAAAATCTGCAAATTTTCAACAGAAAACCACTTATTGGCGGAACCCGCTAACGCCAAAGTGGATAAATCTTGTTTACATAAGTAGTAAATTACTTCCTCTACTCCTACATAAAAATAATTACTTCCCCCTAATACGTTGTGTACTCAGAACCTGTTCTGTCGGTCCATGATACCGAAAAAACGATTGACGGCAAAACGTCTCGGTCCGTTCGTCTGAAACCGTTCAGCCAAATTATTTCTTTAAATTTTCTTCTCATATGTAGGAAGGGAGGTTAAAAATATGGTGCTCGCTCCATCTGCGGCTGTATTACGTTTTTGGAAAATTAGAAATAGTTAACATTTCAAACTACAAAATATATTGCAAATAGTTAACATTTCAAAACTACAAACCAAATATTAAAGACAGACTTTCCTCAAAGTCTGTTGTAAAAAATCAGCTCTTTAAAAAATATTTTTTTTGTCTTCAAAAAATATACAACAAAGAAAATGGTAGTATTCCCGTAATTTAAGTTTCAAATTTAAGAAATTTCTAATATATATATATATATATANNNTATATATATATTCCCCCAAAACCGTTACATTTTTTTTCTTTATCCCCCCCCCCTTCCCCCACAGGTACAGGAAAGGGCGCTCGAAAGAATGGCGATAGCCTCATTATCGTTGAATCCCATATTTTCGAAAGATGCAAAAACTAAAGACTTCTTAATAACAAAATGGAAAGTAGAGAATTTTGTCTTAAACTATGTTCTCAAAGGTCAGCTCATTAAAAACGGTCATGTACATTTGAAAAAATAGTGGTTTTCGCGAAATTTCTAATTAAAATTATTGAAATATATACACGAGTCCCACCAACTACGGACCACGAGACAAAGTCTTGGAGAACAGAAATGGATCAAAAGATTATGAAAAAAAATATTCAATTTTCACTCTATTCTAGAATGTGTATTGTCGATCGATGTATTTTCTTTCAAGCAATCTGCAAACTTTAATTGAAATTAACACAATTAAGTTTTCTCTATTAAAAATATGATTCGATTCTAATATGAAAGAAAAGTTGAAAAAAATGAGTACAGAAATTGTACGCTGCATTGAGCAACATTGCAGTGATGGATACTAGAGAAGTTCGTCATTGAACGGCGACATGGGGGAGATCAGTTTCGGCTGTTTTATATACTTAATTTTAATGTCACAATGTTCTCTACATTCAATAAAATGGTATATTCAACTTTATTAAAGTCAGGAAGAATGTAAATGCATAAGGGAATGATATTGTAGTTTCAAATGCATTCATAATGTGATATATTGAATGGCCTTTAGTTCTGGATTTTGAATTTATAAGTGAAATTATTCTTGCTAGCCTGTAAAATGTACAGGAAATAATGCGAGCAGTTACAGATACCAGAAAGTATGTGCCGTTGTAGCAGCAGTAGTTTCGTGTTGGAAATCTTCAACTACTCAAGAAAAAGTATGCATATATACTTCTTCACCTTACATCAAAGTTTTTTTAATTTTTTTTTTTTTAATAATAAATATATTTAAAAATCTTCTCCCTAAAATGAATGAATTTTTTGAAAAACTCACAACCTATAAGTCACAACTGCATTTTCCCCATGGTATGCAACAGTTTTTTGACAAATAAATAGTGTTTCACCATATCAGGTTAAAAAAAATGCATCATTTAACAAGCATGTACGGAAGAGAGAACTCATCTTCCAGAAATTGTGTATGTTAACATTTCATACACAAGAATAATCAACATTTATTAACATTTAATTCCAGAGTTCAATTTCTTCGTATACCCATTGTTTCCAGAAACATCTCTGATGTTTTTCTTTCTTATAATTCAATGGGGATGTTGCATTTCCCAATGATATTGTCTCCAAATATTCAATATAATGCTTAAGGGTTTCCAGTTGTGAGGAGTAAAAAGAGAATTACCATTGGAGAAAGGGTATTATTGACCACATCTCAAGCAAGAAAAGAGGATCATTAAATTTAAAATTGTTACATCTAGTGTATAATCACTGCTTTCTTAAGGAGCTTTTCTATCAAGAACACATACCTCTTATACCAAAGAGAACACATACATTGATTTCTTATTTTTGTTGTTGTGGTTGAGAATAGCATGAGGTTTATGGTGCATGTAAACCATTTACGAAATTCTTGGCTATTCTTAATAATTTGCAGTTGGTCTTAGAAGAATGTCCTAAGAAATAAACACTTATTCAATAGGCAAATAAATAAATTAAAAAATTAAAAAATCTATTAACATGTTCTCTTTGGTATGAAAGGTTCGTGTTCTTGATAGAGAAACTTAAGAAAGAAGTGATTATACACTAGTTCCTGCTGCAAAAAAATATATTAAGGAAACTATCATTAACAGTAAATTATAAATATGCCCTCACTCTTCAAAACTCAGAAAATTTCAAAAAAGGCTTTTAAATAGTTTGTAGATGTATTTCTTTATCATCATCATCATCATCATTATCATCATCATCATCATCATCATCATCATAATAATAATTATTATTATTAAACTATGATTGAGCGCTAGACATCAAAAACATGGTCACGCTTTTCACGGATGCGTCATGACTGAAGGTCTATCTTGAACTTTTTCATGATAAAGCTAATTAATCATAATTATTTATCTTCTATTATGGTGTGGTTTAATATGTATTAATTGATTATTAATTATTTTACTTATAGAAATGTATTTATTTACAGTTAGAAAGACCAACATTTCTCTTATTTTTAGAATATTCATCAAGTAATTGTCCTACTTGCTTTACTTTGCACACAATTTTAATTATGCATAAAATCACTAAAAGGAGGACGACAACAAAATCTTATCATCTATGAGGAAAACTTATCGTAATAGTTGCAGACAAGTTACTGAAAAACTTGCATCATTCATCATAAACAATAATTAAGTGTGAACTCAACAGTCCTAACCGCTAGATAAAATAGACCCTCAAAAAATTAAATAAGGTTTGTGTCCATTTCAATGGGTTGACAGTAAATCACACGAGTTTCAGCCAAGGGTTCAGTATTCAATATATTAACTACATACTATAATGACTTACTATTTACAAAGAATGGCTAGAGTTTCTGAAATAATAGGATAGTTGCTTCCTGTTCAAAGTTGTATTATTTAAATAAACTATTATACCATCTGTCAATAAGTTTTCACTAATAAAGAAAAAAGTTTGAGAAAAACAGAAATGTGCAATACGAGAATAGGCAACATAACACAATTAAATGTTCGTATTTTTTCGTCAAAATTGTAACTGTCAATGATTTGTATTTTTCCAATTTTCTGGATACCTAGCAAGCCATAGACTTCTCACATTTGGCCAAAAACTGCATATTTACTTCCTATTTCTATGTGCAATGGAAATAAGTAAAAGATATCATAGATATAAATGACACAAGTTGCATTATATCAAACATGTATAATTTACACATTTACCTATGTTGATTAGAATTCCATTTTTAAATTTTATTTTGATTTCTCAAATTATTTCACTGAAATCTTAATAAGAGAGTATTATTATTTAATTGTTCCAATAAAGTATTTCGTCTTCGGAAGGAGTGTTAAAACGAAGTCATTCAGACTAGATGGTAATATAAATCCATGGTGCTTTAGTAAAGCTTCTTAAAGCATCCATATAAGTGCACTCACTAATAAAGCACCACATTTTTGTACACCAATAATTAGTAAAAATTGGCATTTTCTCACAAACATCCAAATCTTTTTTCACACAATTTCAACCTTATTTGTACCTTTCATATATGAACAAATAATCTCAAAATAAATAAAAAATATAAAGTGTGGACTTCAAATATTTTCATTCCAAAAATGTCTTTTGCTTAACGAATAAAAGGAATTTGCAAATAAAATCTAATTTGATATATAAATATAAATAAATTTCAAGACAATCGCATGGATGTTGAGGAAGTAAATCATTTACACAAAAAAATAATCTATTTTTGTGATCAATTTCACTTTGATTTTATGTGATAATGAAATCATTATTTTTTTTCGAGCAAGCAAAAATTACATTCTCCACATTCAATATTGAATAATGAATAGCATTATTCAATAATTAAATGCTATTCTGCAGCATTGAGCTCCATAACATGTATCACCCACTAGCGCAAACTCCTCTAATTAATGCATAGAAAAGGAATATTTATTAGAATGAACTTTAATTATTATTCCAATACCAATCTCTGTTAAAAAAACTCTTAATAATACAACAAAAATTTAAAAATAATTTAATCACAAAAATCCCTAAATTTTCTTCTTGAAAAGATATTTCGTAGAAGCAAAGTGCATGCATCAGCTACACGATTATTTCACAGACCATTCTTTACCTGAAAAGTGGGTGAACATTACTTTTGAAATAAAACAATATAGGTAAAGGGTTAATGTTTTCCAGTCAATAAGAAACTGTTCTGGAATTCTTTTATACTTGTACTTTGCATGAACATAAGATTTCTCACACAATAATTGAAGAACATTGCCTGAGATCTGGAATTCTGGAGCTAGAATCTAGGATCTTTAGTGAGAATATTTCTTCTATACTTATGAAATTAAAATAGTAAAATACCATAAGAATAGCATTGCAGCTCCAGTGAAAAAACACTTAACAAAAATTCTTAGATGCCATCATAATTGGAAAATTTACAATAGAAGAAAAAGGTGACTTAAATATGAAACTCACCTTTCTGGTTCTTCGCTAACAGCACCAGCTGGGGCGTCTTCGCCAGCTGGCCCTGGCACTATATCAGATGGCGGTTTCTCTTGAATCCCAGAGGACACCTCTGGCATGGGCTCCTGGGGTGCTGGGTGAAGAGTCATGTCAACACCAGTCACTGATCCAGAAGGGGCAGCAACATAACCAGGTGGCAGAGGTGTTGTAGGCATGCCAGGCATAGATGTAGGTGTCATCATTGGCTGGGGTATACCAACAACATTCAATTGCTGCATAGGTTGCTGGGGCACTTGTTGAACAGGAATCCCCATTGGCTGACTCTGCACAGATTGCGAGACTGGAAGAGTGACTGGCATATGCTGAGGTACAGACACAGGTTGAGAATGAGTTTGAATTTGTGTGGGAAGCTGCACAGGTTGCGACTGAGCTTGCATCAGTTGGGCAACTTGTATGGGTTGAGACTGGGCTTGTATCTGTGGTGGCACTTGCACTGGTTGGGACTGTGCCTGCATTTGCTGTGGCACTTGCATTGCCTGTGTCTGTGGCTGCATTTGCACTTGCACAGGTTGAGCCTGTACATGTTGGGTAACTTGCACAGACTGAGGCTGCATTTGCTGTGGCACTTGAACAGGCTGTGACTGACCCTGCATCGACTGGGAAACTTGTACAGGTTGTGACTGTGCCTGAATTTGAGGCACCTGTACGGGCTGAGATTGTGCTTGCATTTGTGGGGGAACTTGAACCGGTTGTGACTGATTCTGCAACTGTTGTGGTGGCACTTGCATTTGTTGAGGCTGAGTCGACATAGGCTGAGACTGAGCTTGCATCTGTTGCGGTTGACTCTGCATTTGTTGCGGCTGAGACTGCATTTGTTGCGACTGCGCAGAAATTTGTTGTGACTGGTTCTGGATTGTTTGGGATTGATTTGGTATTGATTGTTGGACTTGTATGGGTTGCGACTGGGCTTGCATTTGCGAAACCTGCATCGGTTGAGTTTGGCCCTGCATCTGCGGAACTTGAACATTCTGCATAGACTGTGGAAGTTGAACTGGTTGAGACTGCGCTTGCATGTGCTGCGACACTTGCACAGGTTGTGACTGTCCAGCCATATGCATTTGTGCCGGAACCTGCATCGGCTGAGATGTCTGCCCAGGCACTGACTGAGGAGGAACTTGCATTGGCTGCGACACTTGAACAGGCTGTGTTTGTGCTTGTAGAGACTGAGACACTTGCACCTGAATCGGCTGTGGTTGCATAGGCTGAGAAACTTGAACCTGAATAGGTTGAGTTGGTATTTGTTGAGACACTTGGATTGGTTGTGTCATTTGCACTTGTTGCGGAGCATTTTGCATGCCTGGCGAAGGTTGTGCAAGTTGTGTCTGAGGTTGCTGAAGATGCTGCGAGGCTTGCTGGAACTGCTGCGATTGGAACTGAGAAGCTTGTGAAATCAAGTGCTGTTGAGAAGTTGTCATTGACACAGTGCCTTGCATTGGCACAGGTTGTGCGGCGGAAGTCACCAATGGCTGGCTCTGGACCGGCATGGAAGAAGCCTGGGAAGCAAGATGCGGAGTAGAAGGGTAATAACCTGACTGTTGATAGCCCTGGAGCAAAGTTTGCATCTGCTGAGGAGGCAAACTTTGCCCCATTGTGGGAGGTTGTTGCACCATTCCTACCATAGGTACTTGACTCATACTCTGTGGATGTGGAGGTAGTTCACTACCCATAGGCAGTGGCTGATGCATCACTCCCATTGGCATTTGCTGTAAAGTTTGACCTGGTGAGACTGACATAGTATATCCAGTTGGTACATTCTGGGCAGCTAAGCTAGTAACAACCTGGGCCATTGGCTGTGGCTGAGAAGTAACATGCTCTGTACCAAGAGGCATTGGTTGATGATCAGGTATATGATCCATACCTAAACCATCCATCAACACAACACCACTGTCAGGACCTACATACTGTACAGAGCCAGTATGGGCATCTGACTGTTCAGAACCTTTCACTATAATTGCCTGCTGAGACTGTTGTTGCATCATAGAATGATCCAAATAGTCCATACACATCCACCTACCTCGCTTAAATGGTTCAGTACTTTCAATCTTGACTACTTTAAAGCGCTCATTACGAGCAGTATGGGTATGTACGTCCCTCATGTCTGTTTCACTTGGTTTGACACTATTCACAATATTAATAACATTACCAGAATCACTTGCACTAGTTGTATTAACTTCTATACTGTTGGTTACATTATTTGCACACGTAACTGCAGGATTTTGAGCGTTGCTACCTCCTTCGGGTCCAACAATTGCTAGTCCGTACTGAGAACTTGTAGGAATTACTGGTGCTGTTCCTAGAGAAGTATTGGAAGCATTAAAAAACACCTCTTCTTTGGAAAAAGTATCTTCAGAGTAACTAGGAGTCTCATTTTCTATGTCAGTTATCCTTGAGTTGTCTATCACATCAGAAATATCGTCCGTGTGGGATTCATCTAAATCGTCGGCAGAATCGTCACCACCGTCATTACTAACTCGAGGACCAACAGTAACACTAGTGATCTGAAATGCAGGCGTCTTCTTTCTTTCCTTGGATGTTGAAGTACAAAGTGTCGTAGGATGGTTCACACTTTTCTCGGGTTCACCAAGACGCATCGTCTCACTCGTAGTGCGGTTAACAGCGTTAGTAATCTTCGTTTTCTCTGTTGATTTAGGTGATTTCACGTTCAAATTATCAGCCATGTTCCGCTGTCGAAAAATAGGGTATGTATTGAATGTAAGCGTATTCGAGGAGATAAAAACCTCCTCCTAGCGTCACCTACCCGGGTAAATAACAAGACACACATAATCCATGACACTTCAAAAACAGCTGGGATAATCACACACACGCGAAACGCGTGAAAGGCCACGGAAGAAAGAATTATCGATAACATACAATTATTTACACTACGACACCCGAACGAACCACTGCAATATGGCGACTGCCAGTTCGTTCGACTGCAATGTCTATATGAATCATGGGAATAGAAGTCAAAGAGAAAATAAATTCAACGACAAAGATGTTCCAGCGAGACCGCTAAACCCGCCAAAGACAAAGAGAAGCTGTATCGGCTTTCTCGGAAATGAATACATCTAATTGAAACAAAGACCATTTTCTGCTACAGCTAGATAAATCAATAAAAGAATATATTCGTCATTTAAAAGAAATTACTCAAAAGTACATTCCCGTGTATCTAAAATTTCATCGAACTCCTTATCTGATAAATTACTACCTGAAGTGTACACAACTTTTGCGTAATCTTGTCCAGCTGTGATTTTAATTCTTGAAGAGTAATTGTGCGCAACTGACCAATTCTGTGACAGTGATCTTGTGCTTGCTGGTCGACTTGAGGATTACAGTCACTGTCAAAAATTATTACTATATCAACGGTAGTTAAATTTAACCCAAGCCCTCCAGCGCGAGTAGATATTAAAAACAAAAATAGATTTGGATTATATATGAATTGATTAATATTACAACTACACTCTTTTAGTTTTAGATTTCCAAGTCTGACATACTTATAATTTCGTAAGATACCATATTCCTCAATGAGATCTAATAGCGTTGTCATTGTAGAAAACAATAAAATGATTTAATGCTTTTAACCGAGGCAGTCATATATCTAATATTAACATTTTCCCTGATTTTTTAACTATGTTCTCATCTATTAATATACCTTTCAATTCCAAGTTTAGAGGCATTTGAACTAAATACAGATGATTACTAATTTTACGAAGTTGAGAAGCTGGGTTTTGCATTTTTAAATAAATTCTGCATAAATTTCCTTCTTCTTCTTTGTAAAGTTTTGAGTGTGTGGTAATGTTTACAGCCACACAAGCATTGCATGCATTGTCACTCCAATCGTCATCACTATCTATTTGTATATAATTAACATTGTGTTTACAATGTCTCTTTTTTGACGGTGGAGTTAAATCTTTTACATCTTTTCACAAATAATAATTGATCTCTCCATTGATAGTTGATCTGTACAGTTCCCATTGTTTTGTAGTCATGGGTGCATATATGAGAACCTCTTTCTCTGGTGGTAAATTAATTTCAACATCACTTTTCACTCTCCGAAGTATAAAAGGAGATAGTATCTGATGTATTTTTGACACAAGTTTACATTGTGATTCTTTCTGAACAATTATTTTACTTTCATTCAATTCAACAGCACTAAGCCATATTTCAAATACTGCTAAGTCATTGAAGATTTTTGGTATCAAAAAAATTAGGAGTGTTCACAAACCCAGTAAAATTATTTTGCAATGGTATGTCTGTTAGGAGTAATCTGTTTTTTGAAGTGGTCTCTCTCAAAATCCTGGACAAGTGGCATCTATAATTCGTCAAACGCTGTGCTTCATCTACTGTAATGTATTCTATAATGTAATAATTATATATGTATATGACAAGAAAAACTGCTTTTCATTGAGAGCAATTTTGTATGTTGTTATAACAACAGGATACATGTTGATATAAAAGGAGATAGTAGATAAAAGGAGATAGGAGATAGTATCCACACAGTTTTTTCACAAAGGTATCACTTAGTTGTGATTTTTGTTGAGCTATTCCATGAAATATAACAGTGGATATCTTGGGAGCAAACTTCTGAAATTCATTTATCCAGGACAGTACTGTGTAAAGGGGAACTATGACTAAAAATGGTCCATAAACTTTCTTGGATAATAGGTGACAAATTAAAGCAATAATTTGAACTGTTTTTCCAAGACCCATTTCATCTGTAAGAATAACATTTTAGCATTTTCATGCAGGCTCTTCAGCCACTGTACACCTTTTACTTGGTACTCTTTTAAATTTGGCCCTTCAAAGAATGCCAACTGCCCAGAATGTATTGAACTGGAAAATATGTCTTTCTCGTTAGAAGCGCCCTCACACACGACACCATGTAAGTCATCCTTTTCCATTTTTTTGAAAGCATTCATCAATCATTTTTTGGTCATATTGTTCGCCGGTAGATTTTTTTTGTTCTTTATCGAATATCCTTTTGTGATACCTCCACAAAAGGATCCACTCGTGGCCTGAGTATGATTCGCTTGATCAGCCGTACTATCCTTGGTTTCTGCACGGCATGGGGTCTTAATTCTTTCAGCTAAATGAGTTGCGTAAAAATGCGCGTGAGTCAACAAAAACATAAATTGTTTTGTTTTTATTTTGTGATCTTCTTGTTGAAATTTAATAAAATCACCGATTTTATTTCTTTTTCTTCTACTTTTTTCTGTATGTTATTTTCACAAATAACCTCTTCACTGCCAGGTGTTTCCATCACGTTTGGCAAATTAGTGTCAATTAGTTCCGAATCTTCTTGTCTGCATATCTTCTAAAGAATATTATTGTTTTGAAGTTTCTGAAACATGTGAATAATTAAATCACAAAACTTGGTTTTAGCTATTACAATATAAAATCGGATATTCTGTAAAAGAAAGGGGAGCGAAAATATCTAATTTTTCAAATATTGTTAATCTAGCGCGTTTTTCAAATTTATTTTGGGTTATTTTTATTTTATATTTTTAACTCATATTCATCTTTGAACTATTTCTAGTTAAAATTTGGGAAGGGATTCCGGAGCTCAAGAAAACATGCGCAGATAGTACATCCCCCTCATACGTCACATACAGTTTTTACAGTTCTTTGACTAAATAAATCAAAGTATAAATCAAAGAAAGTGGTATCGTGCATTGATGCTCTGATTTACTAATTTCCGCCTCTACAGATGAACTCCATCAAAAATTCGTCTTGCATACGCTTTTAATGTCATCTAACTGTCAAGTGAAATAGTACCAGCGACAGCAATCTATCACAAAAAGTGTCTACGTAATATAGTGTTAATAGTTTCGTTAATGCGCTACACATTACGTTAAAATATAATTCGTTCTTGAAAGAATTAAGAAAGATTACAACCAGTTGAAAGGAATATAGTCCTTTGGCTCATACAAATAGTAATAATAAAATGCTTCTGGGACTTCCAATTCCATGAATATGGTCACTTTCGCAAACTCTCAAATGAAGTGAAATTTAATACAACTGTTTGTTCGCTTTGAACAGTAAACCTAGCTATATCTTCCCCTTAATGTAAATAAATAAGAGTCGGTTTAATTACACTATAACTCAAGAACGGCTGGACCAATTTTAATTAACCCTGATTTGTTGGATTAATCTCCGCCCCGAATAGTTAAATTTCTATTAAAATATCAGGAAAAAAAATCATGAAAGAAATAACAAAGGACAAAACTAAATATTTATGTCAAATGCAACCCGCTGGATTTTTGACTCTATATCGTTAAATAACTCCTAACGAAGCATTCTAGGGCACTGAAAACGAAAATTTTGAGACCAAACGTCTCAAAGAAACCTTTATCACACCGTGATCTTCACGATGAGATCTTGAACATTCTATTACATTTTTGCTGATCCGGCGCTTTTCGATATTACCCCACCCGCACAAAGACGTGCAGAATCTGCAACTAAATGTGTATAAGAGGGACAGAGAGAAGAGAGAAGCAGAGACAGAGACAGAGAGACACAGTCAGACTGACACGGGAACAGAGAGAGAGAGAAGAGAAAGAGAGAGAGAGAGAGAGAGAGAGAGAGAGAGAGAGAGAGAGAGAGAGAGAGAGAGAGACGGAGAGGGAGATGAAGGGCAGAACAATGTGTGACGGGTTCTGCTAGTAATAGATAAGCGACACATATAATTTCAATGCAAATGTTGCTGTGTGCTGAATGGTTGTTGTCTGCCCATATATTTGAATTCCAAAGTAATTATTTCAACTTGATATTCAAAGATCATTTCCAATTTTCGATGTGCACAAGAATGAAATGTGATCTTTCACACAAGCAATTATTGCCTTGGATTTCAACACGTTTTATAGTGAATTTCTTTCGAAAAGGGGGAGGGGGCATAGGAAACTTCAAGATCCTTCTTGTCCGGAAAAAATAAACTAGTGTTTATTCTTAGAAACGTAGCTTCAGGAAATTAGCCTCCTATCTGGCTCGTACGCCAGTATATTTCATGCATCAATATTAAGTTTGAATGCATTGCATCGCATCGAGTACTTTTAGTGTATACCGTTATCCTGTCAAATGTTCACAGCGCAATTCGTTCAAGAGGGCACAATGAGGACATTGTATTCACAATTCTAAACTCCAAAAATAATAATATTCAAACGTCTTCTTTGGTGAATTCAAATAGCTTTTCTTTTTCAATATCAAAAATTGATATTACAGAATAAAGGAATGTATGGATATTTTTTGACTTTAGATAGACTAATTCACGGTCGTAACAAATTATTTTTCAGAAAAATAACTGAACAATTAATTTTTACAATATTTTGAAATATTAATCACGCATAAAAAAGAAGAAGCTGAAAGTATTATTTAATAAAATATTAGAACTCGAAGATATATAACGAGACTGTAAAATCAATATTACGAGACCGATTCTTATACAAGTGGTGCTAAAGAATGACACAGTCTTTCCCGTATTAGTTTTCTATTTCCTTTTGTCTTGGCTAGCTATTCATACTTGCCACATACTCTTGCCAGCTGCCATCTATCACCGCCCAAAGACAATTTTTTAAAATTGTTTTAAAAATGTTCTTAATTTTTCGGCTTTCAAATAGTAGAACCGAAATATTATTTTTAAAATATTAAAGAACAGAAAATTCTTGTCCTAAATGGCAATTTTCTTTGACGATTTTGAAACCGTTTTAAAGATGGCGCCATTAAATTCGAATTTTGAAGCTCTTTTACATAGAATATTTGAGTTTTCGAAAAAATCCATTAGAAGTAATTTGAAAAACTTTAACTCACAAATACAATAGTGTTTACAAATTGATGGAAATGTGCATTTTAACGGCGAGAGAGATCTATGAATAAAATTACATTTGTGTCATTTTTGAGAAAACAAAAAAATACCCCAAAATGAACTTTATGCCATATTGAAGGG